TGGCACAGTGCCGCCTCCCTATCTGCCAGGATTGGCTTTCCCTCAAACTCCTCTGCATCCTAAAGAACATTCTCTGCCTCCTGGAAGACTTCTCAGATTCCAACTTCGGCATGACTTTTCGGTACCATCCCTTGGAGACAGAGCTCAGACAGCACAGTGGAAAGGAAAGAGGGCTTTGGAGTCAGGGTTGGGTTCATCTAGCCCTGTGACCCTGGGTAAGTTACTTCACCTGAATAAGCTTCAGTTTCCTTATTTGTAAAAGGAGAGAACCTCTACCTCACAGGGGGGAAATTAGATAAGGCACGCCAATCCTCTTGCACGTTGCCTGCAGTGTACTGGATTAATGGAGACCCAAGAAACATGGCGTTTACATGCATTGGGTATCCCTGGCGAGATTTGGATTTGCACAAAAGGATACACTCACATATACATGGTTGGAGCAACTGGAGGAATTTGAGCATGGACTTCAAATTGGATGATAATATGGTATTAATCTTTTCATTTCCTGAGTGTGGTCATGGTATTGTGTTCAGGGAAGAGGACGCCCTTGTTCCTAGGCGTTACATGCTGAAGTATTTAGGCATGAAGTGTCCGCCATCTGACACAAACTCTCAAATGGTTCATCTGACAAACTAATACAGATGTGTGTGTGTGTGTGTGGGGGGGGCACAGTGGGAAAGAGAAAGCCGCAGATGTGATAGAGATGGGTATTCTTTGTATTTTCATGCAATTTTTTCCTGCAGGTTTGACATTTTTCAAAATAAAAAAAAAAAAGTGTCGCAGGGAAAGGGGACTTCATGCAAAGTGTGGCCAGTCACGTGAGCCTTTGGCACAACACCAAAGACATGAGCATTTATATTTTTCTCCTGGTCTCTGACATGCCACGGAATGGCCTCTGTTTGGACTGTAGAACATTGCTTTGCCTGATGCATGGGCCAGCTCTCCTATGTCCCCCAGGGAGCCACCCCACATCTGTCACCACTCAGACTGCCAGGCAGGGCCTACCTGCCTCCCCACTCAGCATCTTGGAGGTTTTCCGAAGCTCACGTTTAAGGTTGCTGGATTTAGCAAATGAAACTGCAGAATGCAACACCTGCAATACCAGTGACTAGGGAGGCTGAAGCAGGAGAACCACAAATTCAAGGCTAGCCTCTGCAACTTAATGAGACCCTGTGTCAAAATGCAATGGTGAAAGGTCTGGAGATGTAACTCAGAGGTAATGCACTCCCAGGTTTAATCCTTAGTACCAAAAAAAAAAATGTAGAATGTACAGTAAGTTAGAGTTTTTTAGATATAAATATGTCTCCAAGGTCTGCGATGAAACACAATCATATTACAAATGAATTGTTTTAATCTCACATTTGAATTTAAGTAGACATTCTGTATTTAATCTGGCAGCTGAACTCTACCCTGCAAGTCCCCCTCTCCCACAGTCAAAGTCACCTAAGAAGACTGAGTCTTAGGAGCACAGTAGGGAGGTTCTTAGTCTACCAGCAGGTTTGTGAATGACTGCAGTGAGTGACCCTGGATCCTCTGCTCAGTGGCACACGGGAGGGAAACTGGTGGAGTAGGAGAGACTCACAGACTGCAGGGAGCAGAGGAGCTTCAGGAGTCCTGTGGGTGTATGGGCTGACCCTCACCCCATCCACAACCACGCAGGTGTGCCTGTGTCCGGGGCATCTCGCTGTCCCTCCTTTCTTCTGTGCCTGGCCCCTTGCCTCCCCAGCTGTGCCAGACTCATAGCCGAGTGACTGCACACAGTGAATCTGGAGCCAGCCTGGTTGGCTTTGAGCAATCAAGTATCTAACCTATCTCAGTTTCCTCAGCTGTAGAATACAGATAATAGAGGACCTCCTTTGTGGAGGATCAACTGAGCAAATATTTGCCAAATACTCAGGACAGTGCCTGATACCTGGTAAGCCCTGCCTGCCACCATTGTTAAATCAATGATCCATTCGTGGAGGAAGACTAGGGTCACTATGGGATAAACCCGATGTCTGGAAGCCACCAGGACCAGCCAGGGCTATAACCTGCTGAGTTTTTGGTGACACATCAATGGGCTCAGTCCTTGGGACTCATTCTCCGTAAAACCTTGGGATTAAGTCAGGAAGGTGACATGGAGACAGAAAGGCGGACAGCCTTCAGAAGTGATTGTGTCCCCTCAACCCAGCTAATTACCACCTTAGGTCAGTGGGACTTGGGACTGGGGAAATCGTGACTGAGCATGGCCTGTCTAGGAAACCCACCTCTTGACCTAGGTTTTTCCATGACATGTTACTTGAAGGTCTGTCTCCTTTGCTCTTTGATGCCTTTGTCCTCCTGCCCGTCTGTGGCTCCTCTTTTCTCTTTAGGTCCCGGTTTTGTTTCATGGCTTCCTCTCCCCTGCTTTGACTTAGACCCCTTTACCTCATTCTTGGTTTCAAAGAGGAAACAGTGATTCCTCTAGTGTCCAGAGTCATGGTTGGGAGGTTGGCTGGCACCTCCAGGCAGCCCCATGAAGAAGCCCTGATCAGGGCACTGTAACGGTGGGACAGGAGTTGGCCAGAGCCTGGTCATTCCAGAAGGGATGTCACTCAGGGACCAGGGGAGGGTGCCACAGTGACTCAGGCAGACCATCCTCTGGAAAGAATGATGCTTTCAAGAGCGAGCCGGTTTCCTCGTACCCGAGGAGAAACAGAACTACCACGGGAACTCGTATGTTCTCTCCATTCCTCCTAGGAAAACGAGCGAAAAGCTGAATTATCAGAACCTCAGAATGAGGAGATCCAGCTACGGGGTTCTCATGTTAAACTGCACAAGTCCCTGAGGGGCGGAGGTGCTCCCCCTGCCACCTGGTCAGATGAATGGTGCTCTTGAACTTGGACACCCCAGCAGATGGCATCTTCCAAACATGGCAGCCAGAACCCCTTCTGTTCCACAATATCTTCTGCATTGCCACCTTGTCACTCCCTCATCGAGAGGTAGAGTTCAATTCCTTTACCTAGGAATCTGGGCAGGCTTGGGACCACTTGGGCCACTAGATATGGCAAAAATGACACTGCGTCCCTTCCAAGGCTCAGTGCTAAAGGCTGTGCCGTGTTTGCCTTGTTCATCAGAGCACTGTGCTTGGAGCCCTGAACTCCAGTGGGAAGAATCTGTCTACCCCGAGGCCACATGCTATGAGGGGACCAAGCCACACACGTCATGGAGAGGCCACATACAGACACTCTGATGAGTGGTCCTGCTTTTGGAATCATCCCAGCTCAGGGCAGGCATGTGAGTGAAGAAGCTTCCAGATATTTCCAGCTCCCAGCTGTTGGGTCAGCCCAACCTTCAGCTCTTACCACCTGAGGCTTGGTCTTCATGGATCAGTGACAAGTCATCTCTGTTATGTCCAGTTCAAATTCCTGAGAGATGGACTCATACAATGGTGGTTGGTTTCAGCCTTTAAATTTGAGCTTAGTTTATTTCACAGCAGAAGTAATAAGGAGAGACACGGTTTCCCAGTGATGCGGTCCATGTTTGCCTTTGTTATTTTCCTTTTCCTGTGCTTCCATGCCTGGCCAATCCTTAGGAACACATTCTTTTTTTCCCCATAACAAATATTACTATAAAAATAGAAATCCAAGATCAAGACAAAGGTGCCTACAATCCTATCACCTAAACAAATATTTTCATTTTTCCTGACTCATCTTTTCTTTAGATCCATGAATGTTTCCTACTCAAGAACTGTGTGATTGGAAGGCAAACCAACATTCCTTCTAACAAAGCCACCTTTTCCAGAGTCCAATCCAAACTCATCAGCTTGTTTTCAAACACCCTAGAGCCTCCACAAACCTTGATTTTCTTGGATAAAGTTTTTTCTCTTTAAAGGTTGACTCTGAAGCTAATGGATATTAATCCATTGTATGTTAATTCAGGTCAGAGGACTTATTATGATTACTTGCCTAATTTTTAAGGTAGTACTCTTGGTGGTGGAGATGGGGGGAACCCACCTTCTGTCACCCCCATGCTCCAACTTGTACTAATTTTCTCTTGCTTATTTCTCCTTCCTTTTATTACTACATTTCCCCTAAGATGTGTTTGCTAGTCACATTGTCTTGGACATGGGGGTTTAGAAAAATCACAAATTTCTAGATGATTTTAGAGGTAGATTGAGCCTTGCAAGAGATTCATAGATCCTAAGAGTCTAGAACTAAACTCTAGATAGAGTTTTCTGTGCATGTTCCTGGTTCTGGAGGTCCCCCACCACCACCACCACTTATTTGTTGACAAATAAAAATTATCCAGTAAAAATGGGATGTTTTGAAAAATATGTATATATGACAAAATGGCTAAATCAAGCTAGTTAATATATGTACTTTGTTGTGACTGAGGTTTTTTTTTGTTTTGTTTTAAATGGAAGAATATCTTTTTTTTTTTTTAACTTTTTCTGTGTCCATGAGATTTATTTTTTCTTCTTTTTTTCCCCCCTTCTTTTTGGCAGTACTGGGGTTAGAACCCAGGTGTGCTTTTTTTGAAATTTTTTTTCATTTGTTCTTTGTAGTTATACATGACAGTAGAAGGTATTTTGACATATCATACATACATGGAGCATAACTTCCCATTCCTGTGGTTGCACATGATGTGGTCGTGCATTCATATATGAACATAGGAAAGTTATGTCCGATTCATTGTACTGATTTTCCTATTCCCATTCCCCCTCCCTTCCTTTCAATCCCCTTTATCTAAAGTACTTCTACTCTCTCCCACCCCCCTTATTGTAGCATCCACACATCAAAGAGAATATCTGGCCTTTAGTTTATGGGGATTACCTTATTTCACTTAGCATGATAGTCTCCATTTCCATCCATTGACTTGAAATGCCATATTTTCATTCTTCTTTATGGCTGAGTATTATTCCACTATGTATATACAACGCATTTTTTTATTGATTGATTTATATGTTGGAGGGCATCTAGGTTGGTTCCATAGTTTAGCTCTTGTGAATTAAGCTGCTATAAACATTGGTATGGCTATGTCACTATAGTATGCTGATTTTAAGTCCTTTGGGTATATGCCAAGGAGTGGGATAATCGAGTCAAATGGTGGTTCCATTCCAACTAATGAAAGAGTATCTTTAGATTTATCCAAGATGGACAGCAAATCCCAGGGTTGAGGTAGCATAGGGTGAGTTAGGTTCAGGTGCCTATCTGTAGGATTAGATGTCTTTACTTAAAAGTCTGATTTTTTGCTTAAGGTTGATTTTTGCATCCATATTAATTTTTGTAAAACTATTACCCAAAAAGAGATTTTATTTGGGGTATCTGAGTTTTGGGTATCTCCTTAAATTTTGCATGCTGGGCAAATACCTCACTGCCACCTCCCCCAACGGGACCAGCCACAGGCTCCTCAAGGGTTTATTTCTGTCCTAGCTCTTGTTCTGGAGGAAAAGGCCCAGGCCTGCAGCTCGAGCCCTTCCCACGCGGCTGCCTGTTCTCATCCTCATTCTGAATCTGCCCTGGCTTCTCCTTTTCCTCCATGCTGGCAAGGGTCCTTTCCTTCTTCCATGAGAACACGGAAGCTTGGAGTTGACATCTGCACCTGCATCCGGAAATAAAGCACCAAGGAGACGTCTTGGATCCATCAGGGCCCAACATGGCTCTCAGCTGACTGTTGCAGAGAAGTGAAGTGACTTTTTCTCCTTTCTTTGAATTATCCACATCTTTATTACATCACTCCTGTTCATGATAGGTGTCCGGAAATGGCCCCCCCCCACTGTCCCATGTGACCAGTAATGCAGATGTGTTCACGCATCAGAACGATCTGTGCAAACATAAAAGTAATTTCTTCAAAGCATGTAACACGTGTCCCACTTGTCCCTTTCTGAACCTCCTTCCCGATCCCCTCACCTCGGGGTGGCAGTCTGAATTTCCAGGGTGGAGTCAGGCTTTGGGAGGGGAGAGTTATTCTGCTTCTCCGTTTATTTCTAAAGATAAAAATAAAATCATTTAAGGCATCGCAAGATATTCTCCCCCAAAATAGTTGAATCACAGCCACAGTGTCAAAATGTCGTTCCCCAACCCTCCTGATCATTAACCTTCAAACTGTACTTGTTGTTATGATTGTTATTTTAGCCTGAAAATTAAAGTGTATTAAGCTTTGAAAGAAGAACAAATGAAATGGTAAATTTCACTGATATTATGGAGACGTACATAGGCATTTGCTCCTTCCTCCCTTGGTCCTTTCTTCAGCCCTCCTTCCTTCCCTTTCTAGTTTAAATACTGAAAGTAAATTTGAGTTTGGCCTGTTGGCCATTTACAGCAATGCTAATGAATCCGATCCGGTTTTGCATACATTTTAAATATCGATCACTTGGTAGCAAGGATGATCTAAGGTTTTCGCTTGTCCGAATTGAGACACAAAAGAGACTGTCTTCTTCTGAAGTCTCTAGATGTTGGTGCGGCCTTCCATTTCATAGAGAGAAAACACGTTGAGATAGGCTGCTCTACAGTCTATCAGAACATCAAAGTGACTCTTCCCAGAATATGTTTTGACTGAAGCTTAATTCACTTTCTGAAGGAATTTAAAATAGATTCTTTACCTATAACATATATTTGACAACACTTTGAATTTTAATGGGAACCTGTGCCATGTAGACCCAACTAAATCTGGCAGCAGATTAATGTCACTGATATGCATTTTATTTATAGGATTTACCATCTCCCCAGTTCTCAGTCAGAAGCCCATACACAGTAATTAAGCCATTATGAAAACACAATAGGATATAACATAATAGAACCATCCTGCTGTCAAGGCACACAGACTGGGGAAGTCAGGGGAACACAAAGGAACACAATGCATCCAATTTAGTCCTGCTGCGGAAATGTCACAAACCAGTACCCTCCAAAGGCTGAGTAGTGGGGCGTGGGGGAAGTGATTTCCACAGACAACTGGGGATTGAGTCTTAATTTTCAGAAAATAGCAAACCAACTGGAAAACTGATCAATCAATCAACCAACATCAACCATGAGCGAGGAGCAATAAATACAAGTTTCTGTCTTTGTTCTCAAGGGGCTTCCAATCGTACTTAGAAACAGGCTTGGAACAACAACAAAAAAAAAGCAACTCAACAGTCGTACAAGAAAGAGCACAGGAAAGGTGGGGTTAAACAAATAATGTAGAAAACCCATTGAATTAAAGCCAAGGAAGTCACAGTTACCGTGTTCCCGGGATGCCAGGGAAGTCTTTATTTCAGAAAGGCTCCAACTGGGCCTAAAAGAAAAATAAAAAAAAAAAAATTGGAAAGGAAGAGAGAGAAAAGAAATGGTATGAAAAACGCAAAATATCGGGAAGCCAGACATTCAAGTAAATATTGACATGCAAATAGTTGGTGCGGTAGTGTCCAAAATACAATATCAGACAATGAAAATTACGACTCTGTTGTTTTCCTTTTAACATGGAGCACTGCTCCAATAATATGAAGGAAAAACATAAAGCTAGATAATCGTGCTGATAGTATGCTCCAGTCCTTCAAAGACATTCACAAGTAGCAGAGGGAAAAAGATGGGAAGGAATTATTATGTTAATTGTTTTAACATTTTTAGTGAGTATTAAGAATATGATGATTTTTCTTTTTCTTTGAAATCTTTCGTTTTCTGAATTCCAATGTAGAGAGTGAGATCTGTACAATGTGGCAAAAATAAAAGGAGATAAAAAATTCCGGGCCCATTTTTTTGGTGGCAGCCAAGAATGAATTTTGCATGTTATCATTCATTCATCCATAGGTTCATGGGCAGTGTGTTCAGAGGATTTTTCAACCCTGTGTGTTATGGACTTGATTGTGTTCTTCCCAAATTTTTAAAGGTTGAAGTCCTAACCACTGTAACTCTATAGGAGCCTTTGAAGAGCTAATAAGGTTAGATGACGTCATAAGGGTGGGAACCTAATCCCATAGGACTGGTGTCCTTATAAGAAGAGGAAGGCATGAGGGATACACAAGGATAGAGACAAAAACGGCACGCAAACTCAGCCAAACTCCATCCATCCAGAAGCCAAGGAGAGAGCCTTCAGGAAAAACCACACCTGCCAACATTTTGATCTTGGGCTCTAGCCTTCAGATTGTGGAGAAAATAGACTTCTTTTTGATTTTTGGTACTAGGGATTGAACCCAGGGACATTTAACAACTGATCCACATCCTCAGTCCTTTTTTTGTATTTTATTTAGAGACAAGGTCTCCCTGAGTTGCTCAGGGCCTTGCTAAATTGCTGAGGCTGGCTTTTGCTGAGGCTGGCCTTGAACTCGCGATCCTCCTGTGTTAGCCTCCCAAACCACTGGGATTACAGGTGTGCGCCACTGTGCCTGGCTGAATAGAAGCTTCTTTTGATTAGGCCACTCAGTTTGTGGCCTTTTGGTATAGTAGCACTAGCAGACTAAGATATTTTGTCTATAAAACTTACATACAATATATCATTTGCCCATCATTTTTTTTTTTACTAGAAATCACAATGGAATAATTCAGAATGTTTATCCACCAGAACAAACTCTCTGCACCAGCATATATCCTACTCTTGTCATTTCTGTTACTGAGCATCAACAGAAAACAGGCCATGGGTCAATACCTGCAGAAGCTATAGACTGTACAAGGAGACACAGAGGATGGCATCTGTAAGGTCAATGGACAGAAGAAAGTAGTGCTGACAGGTACTACTGGTCACCCAAGGAGATAATGGCAAGTACAAGATCCCATTTGCTTCTCTTCCTGGGTATGTGGCTCCTGCAGGATGGAAGGACTTTGGGGTCTGCTGCTGACTAATAGCCCTCTGCTGTTGCCTTTTATGAAGGACAGCGTCCATCTCCATCCAATGACTGGTCAATGAGGTAGAGAAGGTCTGACCTCCAATGGGTGGACTTGGGTCATTTCTCAAAGGCCAGCCCTGCTTCTGAGCTCCCTCTGCAGACAGCTGAGACCTTTGCTTGAAGCCAAGGCCCAGTTTTACCCTCAGACCAATTCTGCTTCCTTCCTTTCTTCCACAGGTGCTAATCCCGAGAAGGTGCCCTGATCAATTTCCTGTTTTCTAATCTCTGTTCCAGTGTTTCTAGAGAACCAACCTGCAAAATGTCTCAATTTGTCTGTACCATCTATTCCTGCCCCAAATAATACAAAACAAAACCCACATTACTTAGCTATATCATCTCGAAACCATTTTCTGTCCATCAAGGATTAGAATTGACATTTGTGAAGCTAGGACATGTCATTTCAAGACTTACGGTTGAGAAGAGAAATTCATTTTGTTTCTGATTTGATTTCCTATTGAAACTGTCCTTGAGTGCTGAGATTAAACCATGAAGGCTGTTCCAACTCTCTTTGCCTTTCCCACCAGCCTACTTCATCGTCATCCAGATGGAGGAATTTCTTTGTTTTATGTGATCCTGGAGATTGAACTCAGGGAGGGAGATATATATATATATATATAATTTTGAAACAGACTAAGTTGCTGAGGCTGGGTTCGAACTTGCTATCCTCCTGTCTCAGTCCTCCAAGTCACAGGGGCTATAGGCATATGCCACTGTACCCTGCCAGACACAGGAGTTTAAACAGAAACTTAAACAGGTCTCTTTTAATCCTAAGTAGTTGCTCCGTATTAGAACCTCATGATATGAAATGTTCAATCTGGAAAGCACCTTAGAAATCATCCACCTTCAGAATGACTGAGTGATTTTAATATGTGTTAGACTTGGCCAATTAGTAGTGGTGGCTGTCCGAGAGTGGTCACAAGTAAGACTGAATGGAAGGAGGGCTCTAGTTGGCTATGGGTGTCAGGCATGGGTGTGGAGTGGGGATTGGACGACTGTCACCTCATCAGCATCCTCAGTGGTCTCTCTCCTTTCCCCGGAGACTAAACAAACTCAAGGTGGGATTAACCCAAGGTTGTGTGACCAGATACGGGAGTTTCAACCATATCCAATATGTCCTAACGAACAGGCCAGGCTTGATCTCACAATCCTATATTTAACCTCTCTGGCTATACCTCCTCAGCTCAGCCCCTGATCTACCCAAGTACCTGAATCTTGAGTCAGATCCTAGTCCCCTTCCCCTTTCCTGACTGTCCCCTGTGCCATATGTGAGCACAACTCCTTGGGCTAAAGTCTTAGGAATAATAATTTCAGTTTCCTTTTATGGTTAAAAAGCCCACAAAGTTCTAGCGCTTGGCGATGGGAAAGTTGGTAAGCTTGATCTGCTTCCAGCCCTCTCATTTATTTATTATTCATTAAAAAAATGTTTAAGGCACTTGTCATTAGAACTATTAAAGTTCCTATCTAAAGAGCCTGCAAATACCTTTGAGCAGTGACTTAGAATGTGTAATAAGCTCTCACTTGGCTTGTACTGAGCTTTTCTGCCAATGGCTTCCTGTCTTTTATTAGGGACCTTCCCTCTCCTCCTCCTTCCATGCAGCTCTATGGGTGCCGTCAGTCACATCAGCCCATGTTCTGGCTACACAGGTATATAGGTGACCAAACCCTGGCTGTGGTTGTCCATGTAATTGCCGCCCCCCAAAAGCTGGTGACGCTCTCTCCTCAGAACTTGAGAATATGTTACACAAACTCATTTCCATTTCCAGGACTTTCTCATTTACATATACATGGCCATTACAGGGCCAAACAGACTTTGATGATGTGATTAGGATTGCAGACTTTAGGGTGGGGAGGTTATTTTGGATTATCTAAGTGGGCCCAAAGTAGGCACATGAACCTTTAAAGTGGAACAGGAGGGAGAAGTTCAATAACAGAAAAAGAAGCAGGAGAAATTTGAATCATGAGAAAGACCTGACCCGCCATGATTGGCTTTGAAGGTGAAGAAAGGGGCCATTAACTAAGGAATACATGTGCCTTTAGAAGCTGGAAACGACCCACCAATGAAAGCCAGCGAGGAAACCGGGACTTCAGTCCTACAATCACGAGAAACTGAATTCTGTCAACAAACTGAAAGGGCAAATAAACAGATTCTCCCCTTGAGCCCGCAGAAAGGAACAGAGCCCACTGACACCTAGATTTTAGTCTGGCGAACACTACGGACTTCTGACCTTCAGAACCACAAGATAAGACGTGTGTCCTGCTTTAAGCCATCGCACATGTGATGATGTGTCTCGGTGGCAACAGAAAATGAGAACACTGGCCAGACCTTCAGGCGGGAGTGATTGGCCCAGAGGTGGCACTGGATTCAAGCTGAGCCCATGCGAGTCTTTCACCAGAGACTCTGAGAAAGAGACATCTCTTCTCTTGATGGAGAGCTATCAGGACGTGTGGCCCAGGGCTGTCAGAGACACAGGAGCTGCCAAGTGGAGAAGCTGATAAGAGCCGGGTGACACGTAGGCCAGACCTGAGAGGAAAGTCAATTCAGGTCCTCCAGGAAGCCACCCCAGTCCTGCCTGCCCTTCCCTGTCACAGAAGCCACTTTATCACTTCCGTCACTCAAATTCCCTTGAGCTGTATTCTGATCCTACTTACTCCGGCCCTCTCGAGGTACCCAACCCTGATCTTCTGTACGAAAGTCACTTCTTGGATAACACATCTGGAGAAGGAGACAGATCGATGCCTGCGTTCCCTGGGAGAGTTGGTACAGGAGCAACTGTGTGTAATGTGGCTGCCGCTGAGTGATGACAGAGCCCAGGGGAAGTAGTACACATGACGAGTGGGCTCTGAAAGAGAAAAGGATCAGGATCACCGGGGTGGAGGGACAACAGACCAGGGAGGGAGAGAGGAGGCTGCGGTGTTGGGTGAATGCATGAATGTTCAGGCAGGCAGAGTCCAAACAGGTCAACCCTCCACCCTTGAGACAGAAGGCGTCAAAAAGGAGAGATGGAGACTTCTCACCTTTGCTTTGTGCCTCTCCATTCACACAAGGGTTTTCTTGTGACCGTCCTGATAATACATTCCAGTCACAGCTCCCACAGCAGGCGAGTTGGTAGCAGAGCATCCTAGGAGAAGGAAGACCCCGATTTCTGACTATGCTCCCAGGACTGCCAGTGCTTCTCTCCAATCCAGCACCCCTGCCTCTCCCTGGCATTAACCATCCATGCAGGTGACCACAAGGGCCACCCTGTGGCCACTGATGGCCTGGGAGTGGCCCTGAACAATGCACCCACGGCTTTCTGGAACATCACAAGGTACAAAAAAGAAAGCCACAGAAAAGCCATAGAAAACCGTCTCCTCGTGCAGTTTGCTTATTGTTGGAGTTTGTAATCCTGCCAAGTGTTCATACTTCGATGTCAGCAGTTTAGCTGGAGACAATAGAGAAAACAGCCTTTCGGGCCTCTACCTAAACTTCAGCAGAGAAAAGAACAGCCTCACAAGCTGGACTCGAATGGCGTCCTTACCTTATTTGCCCCGACCCTGAGTTGCACTGAGTTAGCAAAGAATCTAGAACATGGGGCGGCCCGGGAAGGCTGTGTTTACGAGACGGGGCTGGGGCTTGCACAGTCTCTGAGTCACAGCCCGTGGGGCTGGCAAGTTCATGGGGAAGGGAGGGGGGGAAGCACTTGGTCAACTTGAGAACCCCCTTCTTAAATTCAGCTTTTTAACCAAACTTGCAAACTCAGATCTTTCAACTTTGGGAATTTATTTTCTCTTGGAAAATGTCTTGGAACATGTCCTCCCTTCCCCTTGTAAGAAGGGAAAGAAAAGTCTAAGAGTTAGATGACAGGTTTACTTGGACATGAAATCACTGTTAGACAACTTTTTTTTTTTTTCTGAGTTAAGTGTCAAAAAAAAAATCTGTAATTTACAGAATGAATTTTCCTAAAATTATCCAGGGGGTGGATAATTGAGAGCAAACTGCTTGTACTGTTTGGCTATGGCAGCGCTGTCCCTTCTGGGAACTTGGGTTCCTCCCTCCCAGGCCAGAGCTCCTGGGGCAGGTCATTTATTTTGGGCATCAGGGCCTGATCCGTCACTGCTCCAATCTCTAGTTCCTGGCATTGCCTAAATGCCCTCATTTCAGAACAGCCACGAGGATCGCTTCTATTTGTTTGTAAGATCTGCAAAGACTCATTTTTATAGTGTGACTTGATTATTTTTATGTGACTCTCAGAAAAACTTGTAAAATAATTTGAGTCTTACTTGGCCCGGAAGGGAGGGGAATAAATTGTGCCCTTCCCATTGAGCCGGGATGATGGGCAACTCCTCTGTGTAGAACAGGCTGCCCGTCACCCACGGGTTCACATCCAGAAGCCAGGGCTCTGGAGTTTTCCATGCCTGCCTCTGTGTGTTCTGACCCGTGGTCTCACCCCTGTCTCCTGGATGGTTTGGAATCGTAGCCTGGTCATGAAGTTTCTAGCCAGAGGCCCAGAACAGGCCATGAACTATTGCTTCAGCACGAAAAAATGGTTTCATTAAAGAATGCTTTATGTAGTGTTCTCTCAATTAATGGACTGTGGACGGAGTTTTCTAAACTGTTCATTGTTTCTTATTTTTATTTTTATGTCCATGTGGAGACTCTGTACCATCATTAAATGAAATATTACTTCATTACATTCAGGTGGTACCAAATCTGCCTTAAAAACATGAGGATGAATTTGCAACTAGTTACATAAGACAAGAGGGAATTGGAGAGAGAGAGAGAGAGAGAGAGAGAGAGAGAGAGAGAGAGAGAGAGAGTCAGTCCCAGGGAGGGAGGCCCCCCTAGAGATGCTGCCTTGACTTTGATGCTCGGGGCCTCTTGGTCTCACAGTATCCCAAGCCTCTCTGGGGAATGTCACCAGATTTCCCCGCCCAGGTTCTGGCGGTGGCAGCCAGCTTACCGTTCTTGGCCTCGTGGTCCTTCACAGTAGGAGCAAGAATTGGGTCCACTCTGAGCCCAAAAGGAGGGGAAGTCTTCTATTCCTGGCACTCGTGGTGCTGTGGAGTGGGAGCACCGGGGGAAGTTCCAGTCCTGTGATATCAGATGGTTTGTGAAGAGGCAGAAGCTCCCCAGTGAGTAATCCTTCCCGAGCCTTCTCTCCTGACTGAAGTGGAAATGATGTCTGAGCGCCCAAGAAGCCAGTCGATGAATTCCTTCTTTGAACTTGTCTGACTGGAAAGTGGTTCTGAGACTTTGAAAATCTTCAAAGATCTCAGCCCATGAAATCGATACTTGTTTTTTTTTTTTT